GTCCTTTCTTCGCCTCCGCCGCCCTCGCCTCTTGTCTCCTTACCTTCTCTGTTTCTATCATGTTCGCGATGCAAACCCTCCATCCAAACTTCCTTACGTAGTTCGACAGCTTCTCGATATCAACCCCCAAGCACTCTTGGCTGTCTCCCTTGGTCAATTTCACCCGGAAGTGTTCATGTTCTCTGCCTACTTGTCCCCGTGCTAGGCAGTGCAGTCACGGGAGGGGGGGCGTTATACGTATCCAACCGGTGACATGATTTGTTCCCTTTGACCAAAGCCTGCGTTTCGAAACCGAGGCAGAGGGGATACATTGCCTCACGGACTACAGTCGATGGTTCCATTGCGTGGACGTTCAGAATGAATGCGAAACATCCTCCCAAATTGTGCACACACAGGTCCATACCTGCTGGCGATCTTTTGCGAGGCTGTCAAGCTCCTTGTGCAAGCTCTTGCTCTGTACCTTGTGGTCAATCAGTACCTTGAGAGCGGTAGTAGTTTGTTTCACGACGGCACCATTTTGCGCGGTGAGGAGCACACGCAGGGAATTGCCACGCAAGATAAGCCCAAGGGTAGAACCCGAAAATGAGTTGAGACAAGATAGATCTAGGCGTCCATCTGCGTGGTTGCCCTGTGCAGTCCGAGCTGTCTACCTGAGGAGGCTCCGTGTGTGATATGAGGAGTAAAAATACTGTTCAGCTCGTTTTTGGTTCCGGTACACCAGGAAGCCCGCCACGGGCGGAAGGTCAACACAATCCGTGACAACGTCTGAGATCCAACAGCAGCAGCGAAGTAGCTCCGAGATGAACGCTCGGCGATCATGTTTCATATGGGGAACTTCACCTCGCAACTCGGCGTAATCGTTGCGAACATTCATACAACTGCGGTCTTGTCGCCCCATCAAAACGCTCGAATAATGGCCTTTCCTCCCTTGAAAAATGGCTGATGTGAACGACGCAATCAAATCGCCCACCCTGCTTGAGTGACAATTTTCGAGAAACGCGCAAGCTTAAATGCCGTACCTCGCGTTTGTGGTTGACCAAAGTCTCTTGCATGGAAGCGAACCGCCTCCGGGAATCAAAGGCCATGTCCATCAATTCGTCCACTACCGTATACAGGGCCTCCTTCTGCTCTTCGAACATCGACTCGGCCTCCGCCTCCCGCTGGGCTGCCTCGTCGCGAAGTTGTTTCGCCGCCTATGGATATGAAAGCGAGTGATTGTGAGTCTTGATCTTGGTTAGTTGTTGTTGTCGTTGTCGTTGTGGCTGTTAATGAGAAAGGCGTTTAGGATAGTGTTGCTCTTGTGTCTCAGAAGACGATGGATGATGCTGCGAAACGAACCTATTTCGTACTGTAGGGCCCTCTCATAAGCTTGTGTGGCGTTCCCCTCGATTCCAATGCGCTTGCTACGTATTGCTGTGAACGGGGAACGGCCAACGCTAGCAACTTTCGCGCCTCCTTTCTGTGATATACTGGCGCGGGAAACCGAGTTCGGTCAGCTCGAAGGCACCTATCTGACGCTGACACGATCTCTCCGAACGTCGGCACGAAGTCTCCTGGATTGCACATCCTCCCCCAAACTAAAAAATCTTCAGATCGTCACAGATAAGCCCGCCGAATCGGGCCAACGACGTCAATCACTCCACCCCTTCCTTGGTTCCAAAGGCATATGTATGAATAGAAAAAGAGATAAGCAGCAATGGGAAACTACAAAGGCCATCTCGGCCCCACGTCGTCGAACAGTTCAGAAGTAAAACAGCTTGCACGTGTACTTTCAGATACTACGCTGTGTGACGGATAGCTGCGCCCAATCCCGCCACAAGCAAGTCCATTCCCTCCTCAATTCCAGGCGACGAAACGAACAACACTGCCAAACCTACCGTTTCGTTCGCGACGCGAAGGTTGATCGAGGCGACGGCCATTCTCCACGTGGCAACAGAGTGGATCACGGACTGCTCCTTCAGGTCCGCCTCACTGTGCACAAGCCTTGACTCGCACTCCTGTTTCGGTCACGCCGGCCACGAGGAATCGGGCGTTTTACAAGAAAGCCTTTTCTTCGCACTTCGTTGGTGGTCTACTTTCAGCAGGAGGAGTACAGGTTGGGGAAAGCTCTTTCTGTTGTTTCCGTGTGCTTTGTTGATTGGAAGAGAGCTCTTTCGTGGCCTTCTTTTCACTTGGGCAATTGATTTGTCTCGTCTACTACTACGGTGATAGGTCAAGGTTCAAGGAGTATTGGGTGAGAACGGCGAACGAGGTTACCCGGAATGTTACTTGGCTTTGATACAGCGGCTTGTTCCGAAGAATTTCTAAAAAGGGGGTGACGTCTAGGTAGGATATTGGTCTCGCGATTCGGGTCTTCGTGCTGGACTACGCTGCTGATGTTGCGGAACCAGAACTCAAGCCTGCCACAAATCACGAAAGGAAGGAAAGGAAGCGTTCGTCAGTCATCACCTCCAGAGTCTTCCGGCACTTCTCGAGCTCCGCGGTGAGCAGGTCCTTCTCCTGCTGTGACTCCGCATACAGTCCCTCGGCCTTAGTAGTTTGCGCATAGGTTGACGGGGCCGCGTGGGTTAACAATGGTCATGTCAGCGCGCCCGGGGGGGGGGGGGGG